AGACTTGAAGTTAAGCAACATGTTTAGTCTCACTCATCCTACAGCTTCATATATAGGCTAAGTTTCAGGTAGAATTCCATGCAATTTTGCAAGATCACATTGTATTAGAAATAGCCCAAAGAAAATAAGCACACTGACTGGTTCAAAATTGTGTTTCTATAACTCGACAGAAACCCAGAACTAGCACCAGAAGTTGATGTCATGATGGCGCGAGCAAACGGCATGTTCTAAGAGAAATAGAAAACATGTTCTCTGTGTTTCTATCAAGTTATAGAAACACGAGTGGAAGTTTGAGAGAACTCAAAAAAGCTGTGGGTCAGCTTGTGTTCCCACAGTATTTCTAGTTCTCCCAGACTTCCACTCGTGTTTCTATAACTTCAAAGAAACATGGCACATGTTTTTTATTTCCTAAATAATATTGTTAATTAAATTATCTATCTGCTCACCATTGTGTGCGTTTCCATGTGTGAGTGATGGTAATCACCCTCTTGTGAAGTTTTGCTAAGCTTTTCTCTGTGTAGGTCTCAGTGATTCTACTCCCAGTCTCCTTCAGGTAATCCTCGTAATCAACATAGTCATCAGTTCCTCTGTTAAAATTGGACTGCGAAGATTCTGGGAACTAAAACAAGAAAAAATAATTAGTAATAATTGTATTTCTCTTGAAAATCTCCACACCTTGGCACCCTAGAGTTGTTTATTTTTTCATTTGGGGGAGCAGGGGAACTTGGTCCCATTCCCCTCTCACTCTCTCCTCACCCAACGTGATATTCCTGAATAGCTTCAGACTTGACTGTTCTTTTAAAATTTTGGCTTTTGAAAGCACCTGTCCTCCCTTAATTTGCAGTGACCTTCTTGAAGGTGTGTGTGTATATATTATCTCCTAGAAGGTTTTAGAGGTGTCTCATATCACTTTATCATAGAAACACTTATGAATTCAGGGGCTTTAGCATCATAGATACACATTTCCCACTTCGCTAGCAAAGGCTAAAGTTCATCCACACAAATCCTACAGATCGGACAACAAAATGGCTTGTTTTAGGGTGCAACAGAAAGAATGTCAGAGATTCGCTTCTTGCTGATACAATGTCAAAATGGTAAATTAAAACCTATGATATTTATTCAAAATTGGGAATGGTGATGAAAAACGTCTTCATAATGAAGACAAGATAATTCAGGTTTGACTGTAAAGACCCAATAAGCAAAGTATAAATTATTCCAACATACCTTCTTAATGATAACTTCAAGGTGCTTTCTAAGGGGATGTCTGTAACGTAAAACTTCTGATGCCCGACTTACTTCCTATTAAAAGAAGTATTAAAAAAACTTATTCAACGAGTAAGTGGCATGTTTGGTATCAGTTGTTTTGTACCAAAAAGTCCACCTTGAAATTAATGATTTATTACCTCCAATACTTCTGACAATTGTTCCTCCGCCTCTTCCCTTTCCACACTAAGTTTTGATATTTTGAAGTAAGCATGAGCCATCTGGAACTCCAGCCGAGCAGTGTTCCATGTAGTGCGTGGCACTTCTACCAAACCATACCCCATAAGGAACACCAGAAGCAACAATCCCCAAGTGTTAGATGCAGTGATTCCAATGATTTTCAAATATGTTCTAGAATAATCAAAAGAAACACCCTCTTTTTTATTATAACATGGACTGTGTATTAAGCAGACCCTGTATTTAATAGACACCAGCCTCAGTAACTTCCATATTCCAATGTTGTAACAAGTTAATAAAGATCATTTTAAGGTTATTTGAAATTAATCAAGTTAATCAGGGGCTTGGTATGGATTTCCTCAGAGCATGCAAGGAAGAGAAAATTAATTGAGCACCCAAGGCACCTGAGCTACTAGTGGGGTAAAAAGGCAGTAGCTAGAAACCTACAAATTGAAGCACTTGCCTTGGCCATTTTGTTTCATTTTTGTTGTTTATACTCATCATAAACACCCTGCCTCAGTCATAATTTTTTCTGGCTACAGCCCTAGGTTAGAGGGAATGCCCCTCCAGAACGATTTCTATTTTTAGTGTTAGAAAATGCCATTTACCACATCTTTCAGAGAACAGTTTCATAAATCAAAACTTGGAAGAGCATTGAGCACTTAGTAACAGACTTATGTTTATACAACAACCTTTGGGATACTTGATAGCAGATTTAGTAGGAGAGACTAGAGACTGTCAAACCAGCGAATCTAAATATTAAAGATGCTTCTCAGCAATAAATATATATATAAATTAAATTAATTACCAGAATGTTACCGTAAGATTGAAACAGATTCACCCAAGTTGGAAACAAATTAATATAAAAAGACAACATGTACACTCGTGCATGTCTTCCGTACCATTCTCTTCATTTCACCTCACAATATCAATCACATTGTTTAGCAGACAGATGTAGCAACATAAAGAAAGACTTGTTGCCATCAATATGGTACTGATATAATAATACTCACCCATCTAAATGTAGTTCAGGCTTCACAATAACGTAGATCAGAAGGATACCAAAGATGACGAGATAGCTGCCATACCATAGTGCATTCTCATACAGTGCTGTTTTGATTTTACCCCGCACAGTAAAGTCACCCGCATATGAGTAGGACTGCATAATAGGAAGGATAAACCTTAAAAACAAAAAGAACTTTCAAACCCGTGACCAACATCTAATTTCTCTTTACAATATTAACCCATTGTCAAGTGAGTTGGTAATGTGAATAAAAAACATTATCAAATACAGAATACCATTAATACTGATTAGCAAACAAATTCTCACACCCAGCTTAAAAAGAAATGAAGGAAGTCTGTATGGAGAATTAGCATTTTGACTTTGGGTGATTGCCAGCATCCTAAGATACATATCTAAGGAATAAAATCAAAATTGCCTCACACTTTATGCATTTGTGTTTATTTTATATTGTATTTTCAACAACAGTGCAGCAGCCATGAGCAGAACAACAGTGGCAAATTTGGAATCTTGCCAGTCTTTAAATTACACTTGAGGTTTCATGCAATAGACTGGATCATACTGGTGTGTATGCATTTTGAATTGGTACATAATCAATTTCTTTGATTTTCTTTGATTAATTCAGAAATTTGTATTTGGGTAAGCAAAAATTTGCAATCTTTTAGGACTATACAAAATACTGCTTGTAAATCCATGCAAAAAAATTCGTCAAAGCAAGTAGACAATACGTTTTTGTTTAATATTGTAATTTTTTCTGTCGGCATGCCATACAGGTGCAAAACTAGGTCATGGGAACCTTAGAAGGGACTGACAACATCTACATTTTTAAGACGATTTTCGCCTCACAGACGAATAACTCAGCTACAAATTTCATCATTGCCGAAGGTATATTTTCAACTACTTACCAAGAAAGTATCTGAGAAGACCAGTAAACTACCCGCCAAAGATCTGGAAGAACATGTTCCCGTAAATAACTCCAGGGTTTCTCGCAGTTTGACGAAGTAGTCTGGCTTGAGTTACTCTCCGAGAAATTTGAAGAAGTGTTCGACAAAATCTCTCTCTTATGTCGTGAGTTCACTTGAGCATCTTTCAAACATTTTCTGTAGAACGTCTAAATGGTAGAGAAAATATGTTTTTGTCTAGATAAAATCTGCCTGTTTGAGTAGAAAATATAGAAAAGGCACTTGTTTTTTCAGTAATACTAGCTTGACACAAATTTAATTCAGCTTCTTAAAACCGACGCATAATAAAATCTACATAAAAGTGACAAAACCAAGTGACAACTGGTGTACAAAATTAAGGCTACATTTTCCTTAAATCGGGTGTGATTACAATAATTTCCGGCATTTTAACATTGAAAATGATTTCAACTTACCGCTGAAACATCTAAAGGAAGGATGAAAACAATTAGGAATGAGAAATACCAAGCAATGAAGACTGCTATGGTCACCAGCCAATGTTGCTTTCGCCAATTTCCATACTGATGAAGAAGACACAATGTCAGAAGAAACACAAAGATCATCTCCACTGTAAACGGTGCAGCACTCATCTTGGAACACCTTGGGTTACAAAGCAACAGAGTTTCGAGCCTGTAGTCCCAAAAAGGCCAAGAAACGAGCCAAAAATGTTTGATTACATTACGGAAGATCCTCAACTGACCGGTGATCAAAGCTTGCACTCGGCAGGGACTGGGAACTGGTAACCTTGTTACGTAAGCGTAGAGGCTGGATACAAGGCACCTCATAGAGCTCTTTGGAAATGCGGTCCCAGACGGCGCAACCGTTGATCCATATCTTTACAGTCCGAACTGAGATGTTCTCTCGCTGACGGTCGAACACTGACTAATCGTAATGAGCATACTACACAGATCTAATATCAGTGCGAGCTTTATCGCATGTTCTCTGACAGTGCCTCCTTTTCCACTTATGAATGGAAAAAGAGGAGCCTGGATTCTATAAATGTTCCCTGAAGCTCAGAAGTCGGTAAAATTTTCATTAGTAAAGTTTAACTTTACCGCTGTTTCTTGGAATAATCAAAACTACAGCGTCGAAAATTATCAACTAATCTCGTATGCTTCCCACTCTGTGTTTTTCGTTTTATGTAAAACAAAAAATAAAATAACTAAAAGAAAAGATACAAAAGAATATGACCGAAAAAGTGCAAACAAAAACGATCTATAGTTAGCGACTAAATTTCAATATTAAAGACAAAAAATAACAGTGTAATCAATATTCTCGTATCCTTTATTCAATCATGCACTGAACCGTCCAAAGCTAAAATGAACCAAGAGAAAATGAATGAAAGTAACCAAGATATTGACTCACTGACTAGCTTCTCCATCTTCGTTACAGCTACAAATACATCACTGTTTTGCTTTGTGAGCTGAGAACTGAGGGATATTTTGAAGTATTTCTTTTCTTTGTAACATTAGATTTGTAATTTACTGTGACGTGTTTCAGTATTAAACAACGAACAATCCTCATCAATTAATTCATGAACTATTTAATCAGCTGATGAACTGCTGTAAACCTTAACTAATGCCACGTAATGAGATTTCTATTAAATGTGTCTCTTTCAAAAGTCTTTTATCGTAAAGCATAGAAAGGCAAAGATCTCCTTTCGGGAACGTTTATCAATCTAAACTTTCAGCAGAACACCAGCAATTTCAGTCGAGAAAAATCGTTAACAGACTTATTTAACAGTGTCGTAATTTTAATCCGAACAAGTATATCTAAGACGTTACATTTAGTACACCTGTTATCACTGGATTTTTACAAAAGAATGAAGTTTTTATCGAGTTTTCAAGCGATCTTCCTCGGTATGTTTTTCCTCGTTAAATTCGCCTTGTCCAAGAAATATGGTCTAGTGGAAATAACATCTAGTAATTATGAAACCCTGGTAATAGACGGAGAGAAAGACGCATGGATTGTAGCCGTCAAAGGCGCCGGGAAAGTGTCTCTGGACGAGTGGAAAGAAACTGAGTTTAGTCTGCGAGGATTATTTGTACGAGTGGGAATAATTGATCCCGAAAAAGATGGAGCGTTCTTGAAGAGAAAGGTA